GCTGCTTTCATACTACAATGGCAGAGGTGTCATGGCAGGTACTGGAGGACCTACCAATGCTAAACTATTTGCCATCTCACCCTATGTATAAAACAATTTCCCCATCCCCTGATCTAGACTAAGGTCCAGCTCTGTAACGTAGGGAAAAGTAGTGTTATCCCTGCACTTCAGTTTCCACATCTGTAAAATGATGATTATCTCTCCCACAGGCTGTTGTGGGAATTGAATGCGACCGAAGAGGGGGAAAGGGGGGAGTACTTTGGAAACCCAGAGTCTCCGTGGAAGGTGGGCAGGGATGGGTTTTATCGTCCACCTGAACGATGCTGCAGAAGCCACCTAGGACATTTTTTTGTCTGTGTTGTGTTTTCCAATCATCCCTGATGTTAGCTTATTGGCGTGTTCTCTCCTTTCCCCAGGGACCCGCCCTCTACCTCTTCTCCCCCCAAACATAAAAACATCTGGTCATATGCTTCCAGAATTAAAGAATTAGTACAAATGTGTTTATCTATTCTTTCACGTAGCTAGTATTTGTTGAGTACCCTCTGTGTTCAAAGATGCAAACTTCTATAAGCTAGTTTTGGGGGAGAGACGTGGTTGACGTTTAAGGGGAGAAGTCAGGTATATAAGTCATTCTGGCAGAAAAGAGATTTCGCCACATCATACTAGGAGGACACGGCATGTGTTTGTGTTGTGCATGTGCGATTTACAAAAACAGAAATACTCCGGTTCAGATTTAAGAAAAGCTTGGTAAGAAAAAAAACCTGTTTACTCCAAAACCCAACTGAAATGCCTTAAAATGTAGGCATTACATGTGAAAGTTTTCCTTGGAAACTACATTCTAATTTTAAGTTGCTATCCCAAACTACCAAGAATGCATGTCCTCCTCATGGGTGGTCATTGGAGACCACCCCCCCCCCTTGCCCATGTTCAGGACTGTCAAGGACTGGTTACATGTAAGGGCTGTAGGTTACCTGGGCTTCAAAAAGCCAGGTTCTCACCACAGTTTCTGAATTTTGGAGGCAGTCTTTATTTCATAACATCTTACCTCTTTATTGATTTATTTTTTCTTTATTGCTAATTCAACAAACATTAACTTCAGTAATTTAATTTTTTATTTGTTCAACTTGCTATCAAAAATAATTCATTCATTGAGAACAAAAATTAAGTTTAATTTTCTGTTCTGAAATACTGCCGCCATACCTATATAGTCAAATCTTGCCATAGCTAATAAGAAAGAAGACGCATTTATTTGGGGGGGGGGTGCGGCGGGGGGAGGAGAGGAAGAATAATATAAGGACCGACCATATCTATGTTTGGGTCCTACACATACACTTAGCTCTAGGCTCTTGACTGGGTCCCTTGGGCTTTCCCAGCATGGTGGCTCTCTGGGTCCCCATGGATATAGTGCTGGCATTTTTTGTGCATGTGTTTCATCTATATTTTTCTATGTACATTTAAATACGGAACTGCAAACCCACAACCTGTCGCCAATATATGGCCACCAAAACACAAAATTCTTCCTTATTTTACTCTCCCCCACTACTAAAAGAATTTTGAAAGAAATGGGTCTTTGGATTTTATATTTTCTACCTAGGGATTTAGTCCTCTATAGACTGCTGTAAAGAGGGTCTTTAGTTCCATAGAGCACTTTTTATTAGACTTAGCAGGACTCCTGTGACGGCAAGAGGCCCGTGAAGCAGCCTGTTTGGGAACTAGGTTAACCACAGGTAGTTTCACTGGGCTGCCAGCTTATCTCATAGCTTTCGATTCACAGGCAAGCTTTCCACTTCTGTCCTCCTCTTGTTCAATGCAGTGTTCTGTTTAGAGTTTGCAATTCGTTATTTCATATCAAGCAGTATCTCCAATCGTTTTTCCTCTTGCTTTCTAAAAGGATACTCATCTGGTTTTTACTTTTCCTAGAACACCCTCTTTCTTGATATTAAGCACAGTCTCTCTCTCTAAAGCTAGAGCACATAATGATAATACTGTCGTCAAGTACTAAGGTGATGGTGGGTTTGGGACTGATACAGGCAGGGGGAGAGCTATGACTCAGGAGTCCTTTCCTTCACTTGATCTTCAGAACCTTCCCAAGACCTGAGAGTGTTTCTTCCTCCTGAAACAAAGGTCCACAATCTATAATAATAAAAGCATAACATGCTAATTAGACCGGACAGCCAAACTACCTTCCAAATGGAGCCCCCAGGTGCCTGCAGACAGCCAGAGGAGGGAAGCCTGGGTCCCGGGTACTGGAGGGAAGCTGGTGCTGGCAGCCAGAGGAATGGCCCTTGGCCCTTGCACAAATTTCATGCATCGGGCCTCTAGTAAAGATAAAATGTAGAATGTATAACAATCATAGCCGCTCTACTATTTATTTCAGATTTCTGTAAACATGAATAATTAGAAAGAAAGATAGCGTATCAGGGAACATGCATCACTGGTAGGCATGATAAATTCCTCCACATATATTCCATCACTGTGATGAATTATGAACTATTTGGATTTAGGTTCAATGTTTGCAGTTAAGTGGTGAGTGTTTTGTCTATATTTTTTCATTTTAGTGTTACACAAAGTATTTAGTGGGACAGGCTGACTGTCTGACTCATTTCCTAGAACTCATACCTGAGGTTTATCATTGAGAGTATTGCTTTTTGAAATGCCTTTGAAGCAGTCCAACTTGGTGCATGACCGTTTAACATAAATAACTGTAAAAATATTTTAGTACAGTCATTTTTAAGGCTTCTCTTATATACAAGATAGATAGGACTAATAAATTTGCATGGTGAAAATGGAAATTTGCATGATGAAAATGAATTTAATTAGGTAAATTTAGTTAGGCTTTTTGAGGTGAAGCCAAATTTAAGATAAATGATATTTTTAAACCAATGAAATTAGTCTCTTTTACTTTTTTGATTTGCAGAAAATTTTGTGGGATGTGTGGCAAGGTCTTGTAATTCACACACACCTCTCTCTCACACACTTGCTCTTCTGTGTACACACTCGCAGACAGACACACACCACAATCCCAGTGAAAGGGGAAGAGAAGGGTCCCAGTGGCTGGAGGCTGCTCGGCAT